CATGTTTTACTCGTATTTTTGTCATAAAAGTTATGAAATAATATGAGCAATAAAATCCACAAATTGAAGCGTTTTATATCTCAAGACCTCAACGGCCGCAGTATTTACATTTGTGCCCCGCTGAAAGTGCTAGTGCTTTTTAAGCCTTAAAAGGTGTTTCGATCGTAATAAATAGCGTTTCGCGCGTATTTTTAAACTCCAACTACGTCGCAAATTTCGATTCCATTGCACTCAAACTTTCACAGAAGTCACAGTGCCATTATCGATAATTCTTGTTGATAAATTAATTTGCCAAAAAGCGAGGCCATTTGGATAAACGATGCAAAATAAAAACTCGCGAAGCGCTATCTATTACGATCGAAACACCTTAAAGCGCAACATAGTACAGATTAGACATTGGAAAATTACTAAGGAATCCGTAGCCATCAGGGTTCGTCACGTCATAGATCACATGATCCATCTGAGAATTAATATTTTAGTTACAGAAGTAAAGAGTCTTAAGGTCAATGTATAGAAGTTGGTYAGGATCAGTTGAAATATCGTGATTTTATCAATTTTTAAAACTTTTTATTCAAACCAAAATCAGGTCTTAATAATGACATRCTTGAGAGGTTGGGTRRCTAAAATGCGTTTTCGTTTTGATTCATAAACAATCAATATTGCTTCAGGATACCCACATGATATATGATCAAGCCCTTGTATACAGACAMACCATGATTTATTGAGGTATAAGTGCTCTGTTAGTGAAGCGTGGTTAAGATTTCGCTCATCTATACATTACAAAGGCTTAGAGATGATTATGTAAGTAGTGTATGGTCTAAGGAGCCATTAAGACCCTATTGGGCATACACGATAAGACCTTGTACTTGACTTTTGAACAGAACATATCTACATTTGACGATATATCAGGAAGACAATAGGAGGAGGAGATGGGAGGGGKTTTCTATTTTTTATCGTATACGGCTATCAATATACATTGAAGACATTGAGCTAAGAAAATAACCACATTTCAAAAAAAGTAATAAAGTCAAATCAGAAGGAGAAAGACGATAGTGACTTTAGCGACAACTTTGGTGTATCAGTCCAAAATAAAGAAACATTAACCTCTTGAAATAATATCGATATATAAACATCCAGACTTATCTTCATCATGCGAGTATTCTACGTTTTGTGGTAAATCCAACCCAATTGTTGTCTGAATTACATATAAACAAAAAACTTTGTTACTTCAAAGACGGTTTTGAGACATCTCGTTTGGGTGTATGTTATGCACAACCGATCTTTGATTTGTACGTTAAGTTAACTTTTACAGATTGCTTGCAAAACGTTGTACACAATGCAAATATATTTACGTAATTTTGCAAAAATGACCGTCAATAACTAGAAGAAGGCATTACGTGAAACCAGCGTCCTATTATAATCGCGTAAAGACTCAAAGAATATAGTTACAGGTTACAGCCCATGTTATAATTCATAGTACATTCTATAACCTATGACTATTTTGTTGYATTGAATTCAATTTGCTAAAATAAGAAGCCTGACTTATTTATAAACAGATTTTATTCTACAAAAAAACAAACAAACAAAAAATAAATCATTTTTTTTTAAAGCCCGGGAAAATATCGAATTTCAATTCTATAAATTCAGCTTGTGCAGTATCCGCTTGCTTCCATTGACTTATTTATTTAAAAACAAGACACAGACAGTCGTAGATGATATATTATCCGCGATACCCGATAAGTAAAAGTAAGAAAGGATAAGACAGATTTAAAGATTTACATCGAAAGCCCTCAAAACTTTTAATGGATTGCTAAGATTCCGTAGTTTGGATTGACACGAAGCGCTAAGTATTCTGAGGGGTTTCGGAAACCTTGCTGAAAACGTGTATGACAACCTACTAAAACTCGTTCTCGATTCCACTTGTCAGCCCTTGATGTCCTCGCTAAGTGGTGTTGGGAGGGACTGATATAAATATACCGAGTGATATTGTGTAATAATATAACCAACTTGATCGTAGATTTGTATACTAAGCCATTGTCGAGAACTGATATCGCGCTATATGGACTACTTGCACTCAAAAATAGTTATTTCCGAGATTGTCGCTTTTCTTCAAAAGTAATTTTAGTTTTTTGATAAATTATATGTTGGAAATAGTGTTTTTTTATAGGATTGAACAATTGTGAATTTTGAAGAGTCAACGATCCGTCAAAATCGTGTCTCCGTATATGAAACTTATGACTAACTTATGTTTGAAAATATTATTAATTGATGAGAAATTACTGTGTCAGAAAGTTGTCCTAATAAAAAAAGCTCTTCGTTTGTCTTCAAAAACTTTTGAAATCTTTTTAATAATAGGAAACAGCTAAGATATTTTATTAAAGAAATACCACAGTAAAAACCAAACTAAAATGCTTTGTTATTAATCCATTCAAATGCCAGGGCAAGTCAATATATTTTATGTATATTTTTTTATCACTATATTTGCTTCACAATGATTTAATTCAACCTTATTTTGATGAATTTGTATTTTCATATTCAAAAGCTAAAATTCATGAACACTAAACCAAACCAAACTTCACACTRTGATGTYGACAAGCTTCACGGAGAGCATTTATGGAAAAGCATTTGGAAACCCATAGAGATACAATTGGTGTTTTGTCTTGCACTAATTGTACTTATAAATTGCTCGAAAAAAGAGGAAAGCACTGGGAGAAGAAGACTGACAACAATTGACAACAACAAGAACAAGAAGTAAAACAACAAGAAGTCACAACAAAGAAGAAGAACAACAACAACTACAAGAACAAGAAGAACAAGAACAAGAAGAACAAGAAGAACAAAAAGAACAAGAAGAACAAGAAGAACAAGAAGAACAAGAAGAACAAGAAGAACAAGAAGAACAAGAAGAACAAGAAGAACAAGAAGAACAAGAAGAACAAGAAGAACAAGAAGAACAAGAAGAACAAGAAGAACAAGAAGAACAAGAAGAACAAGAAGAACAAGAAGAACAAGAAGAACAAGAAGAACAAGAAGAACAAGAAGAACAAGAAGAACAAGAAGAACAAGAACAGAAAAGTGGCAAATCAACATGGAACAGAACAGCATCATTATCAACAGGAAGAAAAAGAAGAAAAGAAGAAAAAGCTTTTTACTGCAGTTCAGCAATAATTCTAAAGTTACATGTTTGTGGCCTTAATTTTCCACGAATAAATAACACATCCAAAGCAAGCATTTATTGCTGTATCTTTAGACCAAATGAAATCGCAGAATATCATTGCACTACCAAAAAGCTTTTTACACAAACTTGCCGTCCATTAATTTMACTAGTGCAGTTGTAAAATTAAACGTATTGGCCTTCTACACAAACACATTTTATAGTGAACRTTTGACTCTTCAATTTTATACTAAAGTCAAACATTAACAATGATTTTTTTCTCCAGAAATTGTCAGAGTCACAACCTTGATATGAGAGTTATATAAGCCAAACTTATTGGTCTTTTCTACAGATAGCTCATACTAAGCTTACAGTCTATAAAAAGGTTAGTTTTTACTATGAAAGAAATATTGCTGTAAGTTTAGTAAAACCRTGAAACACTTCCTACAAAATTGTGAAGAAATGTGCTAGTTGCTACAAAGGAAAATAGAACTAGAAACAGGTATGAATAGTTTGAAATTGTATTAGTAAAGTTTTATGCTTTACTTGGTATTCTATGCAAAACGAGTACATAAAGTCGTCAAACAATATAGTTATGGACTTGTACACTAGAAAGACTATACGCTGTAGTACTTTCTCTTGTAAAACACACAGAATTGGGTGTATTTTACAAATAATAGAAACAGGAAAGACAAAACACTAACCTATGAATGCTTCAAGTCGGCGACACAATCTAAGGCCTCCACCTTAACCTTCCAGACAGACTCTTTCGTGACTTCGAATTCGACAGCGTGTATTAACACTTGAAATAATCTGACAGTCTGAAGTGCTTGTGTTAAATCTAAAACCTCTTAAACATGGCTATGAGTTTGTGGAGCCACTCACGACTCTGGAGAACGAGCAAAACTGACATTTAGGTAAATGTATCGAAGAGCATTTAAGTTTTCAATTTGCTTTATTTTTATGAGTTTTTAAGAAACGTCTCCGGATCTCAAAAGACACGATATGTTTAAAAGCGATTTTAATAAATTTTACGAGAATGAATGAGATTTTTTTCCTCTCTGAATGTTAACGTTGAAGTGCATTCGTTTATTTTTAATACTTTTCTAAAAAACATTACGCCAAATTATTTCTAAATAGTGTAGATTTGTGAAGTTTTTTTACAAACTGTTTTTAATATTAGAGTGGAAGCACTGAAAAGCGTGGAAAAGAACTAACCAAATGGTGCTAAAACACTGGCAATGTAGTATAGATTAGACAATAGAAAACAAAGAGATCTGCATAATTCACTAAACATAGACATTTGATTATTAGTAAAACTATTTCACGGTTTTAGAGTGCACAAACAAAGTGAAGTCAAAAACTATATATTACACTTAGTACGCTCTAATTGCATTGTTTTCTTTGGTATTAATTAGACTATAAAAAACTTCAATGTTTTTGTTTCACGGCTTTAGTAACTTCACTCTAATTTTATAATACTTTTCATGGTTTTAACGTTCGCACTGTATTATTATTCTTTTAATATTTCATCGGCTAGTGTTATTGTTATTTTAATAAAATATCAGCAATAGTTCTTCATATAAGTGATACATAATAAAAATGTGCTTTTACGCTCTTAAATCCATTAATACGAGCTTGGGCGGTGCTAATAAGTGCGCTCATTTATTTGCTATATATCGATATAAGCTCCAGATATAAGTGATTATATAGAGAATATTACATGGGCGCGCGGAAATACGGATTTTATCTTGAGTGTTGAAAAGATCTTTCACGAGTGAGCGTAGTAGAAGATAAACTTCATATCTCCAAGCGACCATGTAATATTCTGTTTATCATATAACTAAACATGAAAGCAAAGTATGTCGTAAAATACTTTTTTTGTTTACTTCCACTATGAGAAACTTCGAATGTGTTATTTTCACTACTGAAAATAAAATCTTTACGAAACGGAGAAATAKAGGTATTTCATAGATAATATGATAAAAACAGAATATTACATGTTCGCTTGGAGATACGAATTTAATCTTCTCGTGTTGAAAATCCGTATCTCCGCGCGCCTATACAATATCCTCTATGYATTACTGAGATTGTATACAACCCACACCTTTCCATACGACGTAACCATGGTTTTAATAACTTTCTGAACAAATGTTAACACGCGCGCAACGTTTATTTGTGTGTTGCTTGTATTTGACAGTATAACACAATCACTTTCAAAGAAAATTTTACTTTCTCAACTAAACTTGCAGTAATTAGGATACCTGGCTAGAAGCGAGACATGTTTTAGACCTTCACGTTTTGAAATGAATAAAAGAGCCCAGCCACAAAACCGAAAAAGTACGTTAATTTTCTTTCGCCGTTTCAAAGAAGTTAGACGTAATAGTTCACTCAGTATTGCTTGTTTTGATTTTGCATTTAAAGCAACAGAACTAGAAATGTTTGCTAGGCAGTTGACACTTACGTTTAACTGACAGTTTATAGAAAGGAATTGTTGATTTAAACAATGTAATATATCACTTTCAAGTGGGATTGCAGACAAATTGCTAGCTTTTTTACTTGCAGAACTCGAAAGTCAAACAACAGTAGAAGTGGTTCCAAACGGCAAAGGCAGCATAAATGCAAGTTTATCGGGACTGAAAGTTCAATATTTTGTAAGATAAAAACAGTTATAACAGTTTGAAATATAAATAAATAAAATGTAAATGTACTTTGAGTTTTAGAGAGCAAAGTGTTACTGAAGAGAGACAAAATTGGTTGTTAATCACACGGAATGCTAGAATTGGTAATAAATCAGGTCCCCAGTTGTGCACTTGTGAAAAGCCAAAGAGTCTAGTTTGTAAAATGCACCATGTCACAGAGAAAAACCGCCCTAGATTTGCGACCTCGAGGTTCCGAAGTCCGCTAGAATTTTTGGTTTTGCTGGACTTGGGGTGAAGATTCAACCGATCAATTTTAATTGAATTTAAAAATTCATTTGTGCTATTTAAATATAAAATTTCATTAGTAGAAAAGAGTTTTATAAAATTATATCTGAATTAAAGTGTCTTTAAGTCGCATAAAATCCCAATACCCGAGTAGACTAGTTTGAAAACTCATTTTTGGAACGCGATTCAAGGGTTTTCGCTAAGAGAGATTCAGTATGTGTTTTGAAATGAAAAAGAAATAAGTAAAGRCCAGTGAATAGCTTAAATAGTACTATCAAATAATATGGGAATAACTATGCCAAAAAATATAAAATATTCAACATTAATACATCACTAACGTCTAAAAACTAAAACATAACCCATTAGCTTCGCTAGAAAACTATAACCAGATATATAACACAAAAATAATGCCTAAATTATAGAGAAAAAAAATGTCCCAAATTTCTCCCTCAGTGGTTATACTCTGCTCGCAGCCCAGAAGAGTTTTTATCACATTTAAGATGGCTGCGATATTCTCTTAATATTACAGCGATCTTCACTCACCTTTTCCTGGGGCAATAACATGACCATCCGAAGTGCTACCACCCTTAGTAGCAGGCGAAAAGGGGTTATCATCATGTAATTCAGAACTCTCTGAAGCCGTGGACGAGTTTGAAGCTGGTCTGGCTTCCTTGTACCCATTAATCATTGCATGTTGGGAGAAATTTTCGATGTCAGATGTAGAGAAGTGCCTGTGMGARGAGGCTTCGTCTATTTCCTCTCGTGTCCAGCTAGATAGCGACTTTGTTGCATCTCTCTTGCGACGTGGGGAAGGGGGAGCCACCCCACACTTACTTGCCAAACGGCCACGATTCTGAAAGCAAAGTGACAATCGTTGCATATTAAGTTCAAATGATTCCAGTTTTGATTTCTCCAAATGCTTCAAATTTTGAATGAACATTTTCAACTAAGGAGTTAACTAAATGTACATTTAGGACTTCGATACAGTCTATTGCAGAATGGAAATGAGCATGCTAAAAAAAGGATTATTTCATGTCTAATTTGGTAAACATCACTTATGGAATGTTGACGAGCGAGCTCGTACGTGATTTTGCGGCGACCGATTTTGCAAAAGGTCGGGCGGGCAAGTGCGTATAAAAACTGTTTTCTTTGATATCCTCAGATCTTCTGACATTCGACGGAATGGATTCTGGCCTGAAAAATACGCGTTTTATAACCTGAAAATATAGTCTGGGKGCTGGAGCAAAAATAATCGTTATGGACATATTATATATAACATTATTATTTTAAGTTATCTTACTTCTGTAAAAAGATTAGCATTGGATAATATAATATTGCAAGATAAAAAAGAAACTAAAAAATAAATTATTTCGTTTGATTATTGCCTCTTAGTCTTCGGACTTTGGAATACTCCAATTTCGAGTTCTGGTTTGCTCTGTGTTAGCCTCAAAACCAAGTAACATATTCTTTTGTTCCATAGATAGCTCGAGGAAACGCATGGAATTTTGTGAAGAAAGACAATAGAATTGATTTAAAATCTCACACTTTTATTTTCACAATTAGGAATATTTTGCGCACAAATGAGGCTAACACAGAGCACTGGAGAATTCGAAACTGGAGTATTGTGCACGTCTAAAAAGTTGCAATTTTATTATTATTATTTTTAATGAAAATCCTTTGAAAAACACGCCAAAATTACTATAAATAAATAGTGTATTTTCCATTTTTAACCAAAAGTATTTATAATATTTCTTCTGTGTCTCATAGAGRTCGTGGAAATAATTATAGGCGAGCTTACGCGGACGTGATGTTATTTGAGTTTCCTTATGTTGAACAATTCCAGCAACGCCTAAATATAAGCTATTTACACTTGACTTTTAACCTTGCCTATAACCTTCAGGCTGCGAGAGGAATAATTTACTTATTATATAACAATGCCTCAGAGAAAAAACGTTGGAGATGTTTTTATCTTRGTTTCCTGAGAAGGTCGGCCGAAACAGATGGCTAACCTAATGAAAAATCTTTCAATAAGTTTATTTCAAGTCTGACAGGAGTTGCTTTGATTGATAAATTGAAAGATTGTATCCAGTATTGGTCGCTTTACAACATACGAGTTTAGGCGATCAAACTTATATTTAAGGCCGAGTCGATCGTGATATTATCAGAAGTTTCCAAGCAAATGAAAAATGATCCATTTGAATAGAAAAGGCCTGTCAAATCCGTCTCTAATCTCAAGATGCCTATATTGCCTACACCACTCCAGTTATTTTTAAAACTGTAATATCAGTATAAGCCGGCTGCGCGCGCACGGTTTCTTGTATACATGACCGCCCGCACGCTTACCTCTGACGGACTATTTGTCTAGAAGAACTCATTAGTCGCTATGGCAACGCTTCACCAGCTATTGTGGTGGCAGTATTGTTTATTAGGTGTCAATCATCCTAAAACCATTGAGACCTTTCACGTCAATGAAATCACGAAACGCTCGGTGTAAAATCACTAGATATTTTTTATATCGGTAACAATGAACTGCACAAAGGGTAAGCCCGAACTATTGTTAGAAAAGACAAAAYCACTAGATCAATATGCAAAGTTTGTCGAGCGAATGTTTGGCCACTCTGTCAAAACTGTCATCAAGCTGCCCGCCTTTTCCGTCAGCCCTTTTAGAATGTTCTTGTCATATTAAACGCGACGGTATTGAACACGAGAAAAATTCTCCTGACAAAAGAAGAGCTGGTTTCGAAAGTGAACTTACAAACCGCGTTGAATTTTAATTAGAAATTGCTGAAGTGTTTGTTGTTACGTCAAATGCGATGCGGCGCTCGTAGTTAATAGCGGCCGCATCGAAACAACGCACGTTGCAATAATAAAACTCAAAAATTATAAATAAACTGCATTTTACGTGTATAAGTAGCCAGCCGCATTGCTTCACGTACGGCAGATTCACGCAGCGCGAGATGTCATATTCATGCAGACTTGTCAGCAGTTGGACTGGATTTCAGTTGTTGAAACGACGAAATTATAATTTAAATCTTACCACTGGTGAAGAGATCCTGCAGCCCAGACAGTCACAGATTGGAGGGTGAACTTTGATCAAACCTCGTGCAATGAGACTTTTTAAGGACTTGCCCTTAAACCTTATGCTTCGTTTCCAATCTTTCGCCGTCTCTCTTCCACTAATATACTGCAGTTCGTTCGGCGTCAACCATTCGTTGTTGAAAAGAATACAGGGGCCTTTGCTGCCTTGGCATAGCTTTGAGACATACAATAAAGCTGTATTTTCTCCGCATTGTATTTCCAAAGGCTCCTCTCCGACAAATGCAGCTGTATCTGTACCACTGCAGGCGTCATTTTCAAATTGAGCGGTTGTTTCGTGGCCAGGCGACGCTCCAATTTCTACAATTTCAGTGCCAGGTTCTAATTTAAAAATAAGTTCATTTTTCTCGGATACACTGGCACACTCTTGTTGAACTATCGACGGCATTATAACTGTGAGGCTAGAATCAGCGATGTCTTTTTGGTTGCCTTGAATATCTGTRTTCAAAGAAGTGATCGTGCGTGAATCCGTCTCAGTGCTAATCGCGTTCGTGTTTACGGCACTTTCAGACATTTCCTCTGCACCACGGCACGGCAATCATGGTAAAATCACAAATTCCCGAAAAGCCGTCTTTTTCTGGTAAGAATTCTTGTCGTTTTTTTGGCCGGCTTTTTTTAAAGCAAAGCTAATCTCGTACGTGCTCTATTCCGTCGGCGTGTGCTGAACTTGTGAAGCCCGTCAGCCGTCGGCCGTCGCTGTTGCGGGCGAATTTGGTTGATACTTCCAGGCGACACGGCTTCTTATTGGTCAAGCTGCTGTCGGAACTCAAACATCAATCCCGCCTTCATCCAATCAGCAACGACCGCCATTATCTTTGGAATCCTCAAGAGTCCGACGCGTGGAAATTTTATTCCGATTAGCGTGTCTAGTAGTCAAAGAAAAAAAAATACTTGCCCAGAATATTTGTGAAGATTTGTGATATTGTTATGAAGCAATGCGATTCGTTAGATTTCAAGACATATTCGTAAATTTAGAACGACAAACAAAAAACCACAAATGTTTATTATACCCGAGGTAAATTTTTTTGATAAATAAAGAATAGCCCCGAAGACCATGTTAAGACTTCAACAGAAATAGCTCTTTTAGCAGAAATTAGAGTCTAAAAATGTATTCGCTTAGACTGAGAATTCTACTTCTTGAGTTTCGGTGCTCGAAAAGCATTGAAATAGTGTCAATAATGGTGTGCTTTCTAACAACGGCCGATTACTGACTGACAATGACCTCATAAGTAGGATTAAATATTCATGCGCACGTACGAAGATGCTTAAGATAGCTTTCATTGTTCTGCCAAAGGCTAGCAGACGCTTATGACGTCATGTTCCCGCCAAGAAAACACCGTCTATAGAACATAGCTTCTCTCGTAAATGGAACCATGTGATCTTGTTTTCCATGTTATATAACGGTGATGCACACATGTAGAAATACGAGAAACTTTGAAACGATAATATCGGCTCTTTTTGCTCAAGGTCAAAGCGTGTTGTGTCCAAAACGCTACAAACATTTACTTTCATTTCGCTTTCAAGTAATGTTAAGCGAGCGTAAGCACTGTCATTTTAATTAAAATCTCCATAATAATGCTTCCGAAAGCAGCGAAATGGCACAACGGGGAGCACGAGGGCTCTTTATCATAGACTCTTATGTAACCACCCCTCCCCTCCCCTTTATATTTTACCGATATTTTGAAGAGGTTTGTTGGAGAGAAGGGTTTTTGCATACACCAATAACCAAATTTATGTGTGATCTCGTTGCAATCCAAGTGAGAAATTCAAGTTTCATTAACATACAAATTACAATTTTCCGATAACRTTTTACTTTTTATGCATGTGTGCTAAATATGCTTTGATTTTTTACAACTATTATAATGAACTTTATATGTCGACTATTTTCTTAAGTTTACAATTTACACATTGAACTCTATATTATTTCTGATAGATTTATTATTTCAGTAGTTAACTATTGCTTGTATAGTGTTGTATTTTGATAATTTGTATCCTATGTATCAACTGGTAGGATTAAACTTATTATTACAAGGACTTCAAATAACGGGAAATTATAGGTGGGAGGGGAGAGATAGTTACATAAGACAGAAAGTCTGATCCATCTTTCCTTGCGATAAAAATGTACGTGTGCGAGCGACACGTGAGCTAATAATCCATTTTTAATGAACTAGCTACATGCTGATGTTATGTAACTGTGTTTACAACGCCGAATGATTGCAAATCACGTGTAGCTGTCAAAGGGCGAGTTTGTTTTCAATTCCTTTGCAACAAAACATCACGGACAGTGCACTGATTGTTATTTTCAGTAAGAAGTGCTCAGTACCTATTTATGATTCTTTTTTTTTTCAAATTAGAAAGTCAAACAAGTTTTTGAAAATTTATTGAATAAAAACCTACTTGGGAAGAAAAGTGTCCAATCACAGCTGGTAATTACTGGAAATTTGCTGTAATTTTGCAAACCGCGTTTAGCATTTGGTTACGCGCTTATTATAATTAGTTGTTTCCCAATTTTCCCTCGTAACTATCGATTATAGGAATAATGATAATAATAATAATAATGACAATAATAATGTTAATAACAATAATATGCTAAGTAATAATAACAATGTTAATGATTAATACTACTAACAAAAATAGTAGTAATGATAATGTTAATAATTATAATGATAATAATACTAAATAAGAGAGCACGCATAGTACAGGCAACTACAACAATAAACTGTACGTT